TGTGGTGACAAAAGCCCAGGAGAAATTCCTCTCATCAAAATATGAAAAAAGGTTCTTATAAACACGTGTCCGAAAATGCTTAATGAAGATCGAGATACAGGGTGTTTCGTTTAAAAAAAATGAGTTTTTTATTTATAGTTTAAAAACGCTAAATGATTCAAGGATAATAAAAAATCACGTAAAGTTCATCTAGCTTAAAAATTTACCATGAGTTTTAATTTCCCAAGTGTCAAAATTTTTATAAATATTGAGGGCCCCCACCAAATGTCGGCCCCAGGGCCCTAAAACCCTTAATCCGGCCCTGTACCTAGAGTATTAACGTAACTGAATATAATGCAAATATAGTCAATCAAGCTGGTCAGAATTTATTTTTAGGTCACCCAATGGCAACAGGTACGCACAGTTTTCTTTGACAGGTTTTAAAAAGTAAAAATATTTATAAAGTACATATAAAGTTAAAGTTAGGTTATGTTTACTTGGTAAATAATGAGCAGGTTAAATTAATATGACACTATAAATACAATATTAAATTTAATTTAAAGGCTAACTAAGCACGGTCTAAAGCCCTTACATAATAGGTACAAGTTTACTAACAGGAAACGTTTTTATGCATGGTAGGTCGAGGTTTCCGTCTTTAGATTACTTGAACTCAAGCCACCAATCGTACATTGTACATTGCAAAATTCAGTAATTTTATAGGTAAAAATCTCGTAAAGAAATGTTGTAAAAACAATGCAACCAATTCGCTTCATGTCCATCAGTTATATAATATTAAATAGTTCTTTGGGTGGATGGACTTTCTTGTACCGTCGAAGTTTGGCAGTTCGACAATCGCCTCAAAATCTGAGTCACTGATAACCAAATTAACTCATACCTAACAGTTTACGCTTTCTGTTCCAACGACATACCTACTGATTATTTCATAAATTTACTCACTGTTTTAGCAAAATGTTCCAATAAGACTTTATTATAATTTTATTTATTATTATTTACGACTTTGTAAAAGGCGTTGAGTGAATAAATCGTAAAGGTAAACATTGTTGTGACACATTTGACGCTTGACAGTTGCAAAAAATAATAAAGGTTAAAAAAGATACCTTCTTTATCTCTTCAAAGGATTGGAGGGGAGATGCGCAGAACTTAATTTTACGTTATGAGTCATTCCAAATAAAAACACCAAATGGGGTGCGCTGCGTGATTTTTTATTTTGATGAAAAAATTTGAGGATGATCTTTTAGGTGTCAAATATGAAAATCCGTTTGGCACCCATTAGAAGTCTGAAATAGTGTCAATTTCTTACTCTCTTAAGCCTCATTCAGAACCTCGTAATTAATGGAATAAATTAGTGGTTTCAATTAACGTAAAAGTTTGTCTTACGAATATACACAGTGTTGTTCGCAACCAAAAAATTAGTGGTAGTACTTTTCAATTGACCATATGCAAGGAATGCGGTCGATGTTGCCAATGGTAAAAAAAATAAAACTCCCTATTGGGAACATTCAATTATATTACGTTGGCTACATTGAAAATTTGAATTTCCTGCACCAACTAAATTAATTTTCATCTTTTTTTATAATAATAATAAATAATAATAATTTCCACATTTGAAATTCGGACCTTAATTTATTATACAACATTGGAACTACCTTCTTTATCTCTGGGAACTACTAGAATGTATGTCAGTTTGTGCGGGAAATTCAAAATTTCAGTGTAGCCAACGTAATATAATTGAATGTTCCCAATAGGGAATTTTATTTTTTTACCATTGACAACATCGACCGCATTCCTTGCATATGGTCAATTAGTGGAAAAAGTTTGCAAACTTCTAACTTTTACCACTAATTGTAATTGGAAAGCGGCTTTGCGCATGTGCGCGGATATTTTATGTCAAAAGCAAAAAGTTTGAAGATTTGCCAGTGATGTTAAGGTTATATAAATATTATTGTAATGGTTGTACAAAATATTAATTAAATATAATTAATATTGTTTATGTCAGGTTAAGAAAAATTGACAATCTTTTAGCAAATTCCCTTAATTTTAGATGTTAATTTTGCGCATTTGTGTTAATTATAAGTATAATTGAAACCACTAAGTAAAGCAACAAAAAATTAAAACGGCAACGGATTTTCATATTTGACACCTAAAAGATCATCCTCAATTTTTTTCATTACAATAAAAAATCATGCAGCGCACTTTTAAATTCATTTTTGGTGTTTTCATTTGGATTGACTCTTATCGGTCCTTGTACACGTGCGACGTAAATATGGTCCCCCCCACTCCTCAAATCAAAGCTCCTGAATATAATCTTCTTAGTTTACTTTTACCAATTTCGTAAATAAGAAGATTATATTATAATATTTTATATTATAATAAAATCTTGGTAGTAAACAGTGAGTAAATTTATGAACTAATCAGTATTACTGTCGTTGTAGCAGAAAACGTAAACTTCAGTTTACATGTAAACATGCATGTAATGATGTTAATTTGGTCATCAGTAATGTATTTTCACGTATAAAATGACTGAATTTTGCAATGTAAAATTAGACAATTTTATATTCTGTGGTGTAATTATTACACTGTAATGTTTTGTTATAAACTTACTGATGGTATTTCAAATAACTGATGTGTAGGTTTTTTATCAATTGACTAATTAAACAATTTTTAACACAGCACAAACATCCCATATGTAGTGATTTTCTCAAATAAAAAATTTGAAATTAAAATAAAGCTTGTCAATCAACCTTATTTGGCCAAATAGCTTTCAAATTAGCTAAAGGCCAAAAACTTTTGAAGAAGAAGAAGAATCAACCTTTATTTCTGTTGTAAATCTTCCAACCAATGAGTGCACGTGCAGTCTGTCACGTGAGTTGACGGTCTATGCGCGGTTGATTAATAAATATTTGTGCGCATTGTACACGACACGACGCGTTTTCTGTTCATTCTCATGCGGAGTTGAAGCACCTGAATATACTCTTCTTACGCTGTACTTACTACAACAATGCATTTGACAACTCTCTATGGAGCAACCAATTGACCATATGCAAGGAATGCGGTCGATGTTGCCAATGGTAAAAAAATAAAATTCCCTATTGGGAACATTCAATTATATTACGTTGGCTACATTGAAAATTTGAATTTCCCGCACAAACTAAATTAATTTTTAATTTGACATTTAAGTAGTTCAATTGTATCTTATTATCTGTCATTAAATTTAATTCTTCCCTTGTAAAATCCAATAATGTCCAAAGTAAACCAAATACATGTTTACATCTTCCAGATATGCCACCTACACATGTGCATTTTGCCCTTTCTATATTACCGTTATTGTATATTTTAACAAATACTTTATAAATATTTTCTTTCATGACTGCTCGCACATCTGCTTTAATAAGTACCTACCTCATTCAATTCGTTTAAATCATAATGTAATAAAATATTTTTAACTTTTTTTGCTTTATAGATCCTATATCCCAATACATATGGCAAGCCGTTTTAGTTTTTATTACACATGGCTCCCATTTTAATTCGACTTGATTTCCATGAGACATTAGATAATTGAAATTATATGTATTTTCCTTAAGGGAAATTACATTTTAATTACAAATTATAAATAAAATTCCTTTTTTAATAAGCATTGAAATTTTGGGTACATTAAATTGAAAAGATTAGATGTAGAGGATGATTTACATTCGAAATTGTAATAAAAATACTAAAACATTTCATTTTTATTTGAAATAATAATAAAAATTATTTTTATGACAAATAGTAATTTTAATGCAAATTTCGTTAAGGAAAGTAGTTTTTATTATAATTAAGAATTTAAATGCATTTCCGTTAACGGAAATGCAATTTCCCTTAAGGGAAATATCATTTCTGTTAAGAGAAATTGTATTTCCCTTAAGGGAAATAGCATTTCCGTTAAGGGAAATTGGCGCCATCTATGAGAGGACGGCTGAAGTTCAAATAGTTAATTTTATCAAAATTCTATAAAATGAAATTATTGCACTGGGATTTTACAAAAGATTTATTAGTAATAAGAATTTTTTTGATTGTTACCTTTTTAATTTAAAAACCAACCGTTACACCTGTTCACATCCACCCACAAAATATCACCCACCAGTGTTGCCAGATGTAAAAAGTGAAATTATCGACAAATCATCGACAAATTATTGACAAAATTATCGAATTTTCAGAAAATTGTCACAAAATTTGTATTGATAATGCTATACCAAAGTTGGCAGAACTCTGTAAGCGGTGGAAATGTAATTTCTGTTAAGGGAAATAGCATTTCCGTTAAGGGAAATAACATTTTCGTTAAGGGAATTGTAATTTCCCTTAACGGAAATAGAAGTTTATTTTTGTTTAGTTAAAAATAAAAGTAATTCGAGCTATTTTTTGTACACATGATCATTAAGTCTCATTTTAATTCGATGTTATTTTCTGATTCTCTAAATATTGTTAGACTCTATATATTGCGGTTCTAAATTTTATTCGGGAACAACATTTCAATCAGTATTTTAAATTAAAATGTTTTTAATTTTTATGTCATTTAGGAAAGTATAAAACTATATCTTTAAGCACAAATGCATTTATATTCGTAATAGTAATTTTAATTCGTTTTATTTTAATACTTAGCCTGGTCTAACATAAATAAAATGTAACATTGTATCCAAGTCAGAAGCTACTTTAATAAAATTGAATTAAAATAAAATCCTTTTAATGTGTCATAAAATTGCTCCAAAAAACTAAAACAGTAAAAATAATTTGCATTAAAATTATAATTAGTAAATTTAATAAAATTTCTGTTAACGAAAATTGCTTTCACGTTAAGGACAATATTTAAAAATCCAATGGAAATAAATACAACAAATGCATTATTTTTACACAACGCCACTGCTTTGCATTTTTATAACCTATTTTTCGTGATTTGACAAATGAATTACTTCTCATTTTAATACGTTTACGCTTTTTATTTGCATACGACTGTTCCTTGTTTTTACCTTTGTCCGTGCCTGAATTTGAAGCTGGCGAAGAAGCTGGCGAATCTGCTTCCTGCGGCACGGCGACGAAATTCGGCGAAAAACGCACGTTCGTTTCGCACTCGTCATTTTCCGGCTCCTTAAGCTCCTCTTTTATAGACTGCGTCTCCGCAGATAAACCGCCTGAAATAAGGAAAAAAAAGTGTTTTCAAGAGTTTTTTGCGGTTATACAGACATGATCTAGGGTAAGTGGATTTTGATCCTTGATTTATTCGATTTTTAAATCAAAATCATGGAGACTACACAAGGAGCCCGAACTTAGTAGGGAAAATTGACAAAACCTGACCTCTAAATCGCACAAATAAAGTATTTTTTTTCACCACCAGCGGCGCTGATTGTCGATGCGTATTGACGTGCTGTTTTGGTAGCGTTTCGGGAAGGATTTTGTGTAAAATTCTTGGCGTTTCGGTACAAATCAAACAGTTCTTTATTAATAAACGGAACACCAGCCTCTTATCTTAGGAAGATTTTTGTATACATGAAGTTCGGACACCTTGTGTAGGCTCCATGGTCAAAATCATGAAATTTGCGACTATCTTCTATAGAAAATGATCTCTATAAGGAATGTCATGCTCCGATTGGTTTTTTGATTTCTTTAAAAAGTAAAGTCGCAAATTTCAGGCATTTGGCATTCTTAAAACAGTTATATTGATATTTTAAAGTAGGTATACTTTAAATTGTCATTTATATTTATTCCACGTCGTAAATCAAAAAAATTGTTATATAAAATACTATCTAGGTATTTGGCTAAATTTAACTGTCTTAAAAATGAAGATATGATTGTCTTAAGAATGTTAAAATGTGTTTTGATATTTACATGCTACAAACTCGATTTCTTCCACTTTGGGGGCAAAATCTTTACCGCAAGTTACTTCTCGAGTGTATAACTTTATACCACATGGCGACTTAAGTTGTAGTGTTTTTAAAACACCTGTATCGACAAGCAAAAAACTTGCAGATCTTCTAAAACAGTGCCCTGTGTATTGTTCAGGATTACTTAAGTTTAATGTCTCAGCTATGAGCCTAGGTATAACTCCAAAAGTATTAATACCAACGGGTTGCGAATAACAGCGGCCTTTTCTGTAAACAACGAAAAATCTTCCATGTGTGGCATTTTTGGGTCGTAGCTTCGCATATTTACGTATAACTTCTAAGCAATTAATTCCGTCTATAGATTTTTTAGTGATGGCGAATTCCCGTATTGTGTTGGTTTTTCTGCAGGGCATTATTATTTTAAAGTGGGATTTTTGGTCCTGTATGTTGTTTACTAATAAATTTGTTAATTCTTGTCGGCGGCAAGCACCAAAAATACCCACAATTAGGGCTACTTTCATCATTAAATAGGTGTTGTCTTCGCATTGCAAAAACCTGCTTATTTCTTGGGCTGTGAATACTTTTGATTTCCTTGGTTTGTATCCTTCCGATAACTTCTTTAAAAAGTTTAATAGGTCTGTGTATTGACTTATATCGATGTGGTTTTTTAGTAGTATACCACTTCGTAGCATTGAGTAATGCACCCAGAGTGAGTTAGGCTTTTCTTTGACAGATTTTTCCGTGAAATATTCCAGCAACATTTCTTCTGATAGGGGTAAGTTTTGTATTGTACGCCATTCTTCAAAGTTTTTGTAGATATAGTCGTATCTAGTCCTCGACTTTTCCGATATTGCTTTTACATCGAGCATTTGTATATCGTCCATTTTTCGTTGTGTAATCGGTTTTTTACGAACTGACAGTAACCAATCAACAGTCGTTTTTATTTATTGGTTACTATTTACTATTAGTGTTTCAATAAACAAGTTTAATAAGACAACGTTTTATCGCACGACATCGGCCAACACTGGATATTTACTTAAGTTAATAAAAAGCATATGTAAAAGCTCTATATAGGCATAATAATATTTATATATATAAATATATATATATATATATACAGTGTGACCCATTTGTTTGCGACTCAACCCTGTAAAATGTTTATTTATTGTGCGATTTTAACCGGATTTGTTTTAAACTGAATATCTTGATAAACTGTATTTTTTAAGCAAAAAACGCCATATTTTTACAAAATACAAGGCCTACTATGTCAGTTTTTAAGAGTAAATTTTTAAGAATATATAAAGGCCATTTTTTCAAATAAAATCTAAGCACAGCACTGGATTTAACACCCTATATTAACGACCCTATACTAAATTTTATTAAAAAATGCAAAATAATAACTATATATATATTTGCGATTTCTATTATTCTTTTCTAATTATTAGAAGTTACAATTGCCCTGGTTGACAAAATGAAAGTTTTTGTTTGCCACAGGGTGGTAATTTGGGTGCGCTAATTCCAAATCATTTGCTTAATTAGCTCTTGTTTTGATTGTGAAAAAACAGACATTAAAATTCGTATACATGTTTTGTTAATGAAATAATTTGACCGAGGATCATTGGTAAGGTCATAATTAAACTAAAGAAATTATAATTATAATATTATTATAATAATGTATATATATATACATTCATAAACTTTTTCACTTTAAAAATCATGTAATCATGTTTTCTCATTTTAAAAGCATTTTTTAATTAATAGCAGTTAATTTTGTCAATTTGTATTTGATTGCTTTAAATAAATAAAATAAATTTCATTAAAATCGAACAAATTTTTTACAGCACTTTGAATTTTAAAAATGGTCCAATTTTGGATAGAAACGATTTTATTTTTTTTAAACAGGATTTTTAAGGCTAATTCATAAATTTATGAATGTATATATTTTATCTTAATAATGACCCATAGCTATTTACCAATGATCCTCCGTTAAAGTATTTGATTAACAAAATATACATACGAATTTTAATGTTTTCATGTCGAAAAAACGGGTTTTTTCGCAATATGTTAAAAACAAAAGCTGATGGAGCAAAATATACGTATACAAAGCGGCGAATCTTTTACGTTGCGTCATCAATTTTAAATGTCAAAAACCGGTTTGTTGACATACATCCGGCATACATCACACATCCGCCGCGGCGACTATACAAATAAAACAGGTTGTTTTAAACAGCTAATTGTAATGTCTTTGCTTGGTTCACAAATTTATATCGCAACGGAAAACAATCGTCGCGAAGACTATAATAGCAGTAACAGTAATGTCTGTGCTTGGTTCACAAAATAATGACGCAACGGAAAACATTCGCCGCGGCGACTATAATAATAACATTGTCACTTCTTAATGTTCAATGACTATTCCATAGAGTGTGTTAAAAAGTAAGGTTATGTCACATTGTAACCAGAGAAAACAAAACAATTATTCAAGCTGGTTCTTCCGGTAACCAGGCAACAAGTAAAAAGTAAGGTTATGTCACATTGTTACCAGAGAAAACAAAACAATCATTTAAGATATTTAAATTTGAACACTTATAACAGGCATTGTGTTTGTTTCTCTATGGACCATGCCAAAAACCGCGAGGATTTTTTGGTTACGTTTCTTTGAAAAGCATATACTTTTAAATTAAGTTTTTATCAATTTTGACGCTTTTTGGCATAGTCAATGAACAAAAAAGTTTATTAATAGCATATACCAACTAGTACACTTAAAAGTTATTTAAACAAATAATTTTTAACTTAAGAATGTCCTAAAATTGGCATTCTTAAGCAGCACTTTGTATTACAGTACATAATTATAATTGTATACAGCAATAAAACTTGCATACAAGAAGGATTGCTGCAAGTAAAATTGCAGACTGTAAAGCCCGCTGCTCAATAGCGGCTATTGAATAGCCCGGTAACGGCAACGAAAACGGAAATCTGAAAAGTAAAGGTGGGGAGCTTGAACACAATGGTACGGCGTTCGACGGCGTCAAATGTCAAACCAAAGTTAAAACAATGCAAATGCATGATACCGCACACAATGCACGGCGTTGAACGCCGTGTGACGCTGCTAGTTGGCCAACTTCCCAGTCAAAAATTATTCTTGGCTCAATCTGGAATAATGCCAGGCCAGTATGGGCATGTCAGTATTGGGAGATAAATCTTTGGCCAAGATTGGGCCAATATTGGCGCAAGCTGTTTCAAATAAATATATGTTGCATATTGCAATCTTCATCAATGGCCCAAGGTGGGTCTGCTCATAATGGGGCCAAGAAGAAGATTGCCAAGGTCGGGCCAATATAGCATAAAACATTTCTAGCCAATATATGATGAAAATTAACCTAAATATATTTATAACCCCACTTTACCAAAAACAATTGGAATTGTTTAATGAATTAGAAATTCAATTGAATAAAATCGTTTACAGCTCGTTCTAGAACGTTTAGTTTAATTTAGTTTTTAATATAATTGCAAGAATTCCCTTAAGGTAGGTATACCTATAACAACGAACGAGTTATTGTCGAATTATAATTATTGTAATTTTGTATCAGAAAATTTACTTTGTAGTTTATTATTAAATACTGGACAAATGGAGTACAGAGCAAGGCTTGCTCAGCAAGCGTTCGGCGACGTGTACGAAGATATCGCGAGTACCAACGCAATTTTTACGATGAATAAAAATGTTTGAAATAAAATTATTTGTAATTTATTATATATTATCAGTAAGCAGATTTATAGTTAACCTTGGGTTTTTTTCCTAATATAACTTTGATCTTGTAAAATTTTGCATGGGTTGATGTTTTATTTATTATATAAAATAATTATTAAAACACCAACCCACGCAAAATTTTACAAGATCAAAGTTATATTAGAAAAAATACTCAAGGTTAACTATAATCCGTACCTATAATTCTAATGTTGGCCCACAATGGCCCATTATTGGCTCGAGCTAGGCTCGCCCATCCTGGGCCATTATTGACAGCCCTATCTTGGCCAACACTCTGGGATCGTTACAATCCCATGCTGGCGCGAGCTTGGCCCATTAAGGGCTCGCCAATACTGGCCCAGACGGTGCCAATATTGGGCCAAGGTGGGGCCAAGCTATTATTTTTGACTGGGTTTTTACTTTTACGCCGTCAACGCTGGGAACCTAACCTCACTTTCTGTAAAAAGGCGGCAAAGTTTTAATCTGTCATCTATTTTGTGAGCTTTAAGCATGATTTATAGATTGTCTTCCTTCCTTCCTCCCGTAAAAGATAAACAATACGAAAACTGTAGTGCAGTTTATAGATTCCCGTACGGGATTGTATTGTTTATTTTCTACTGGAGGTAGGAAGGAAGGAAGGCAATCTATAAATCAGGCTTTACTCTGTGATATTTGTTCTGTGCATTTATTCTTTGGTTTGTATTCGAGATGGATATCAGAAAAGTGTTGCAATCTATTAATACAATAGAAGCACCGGCGATGGAAGATTTTGATGAACACCTTGTTCATTTTATAAAAACCAACGAAATTTTATATAACAAAAGGTGTAATGGTTATAAAAATATAATCCTAAAAACCCTAAATACACAAATTGTAACACAATCAAAACAAATAATCGCGTTTTTGTAAATATATTTTAGGTTAGATTACCCCCATCTGTCAGATCTGTCAAATAAATGTCACTTAGCGGCGTTCAACGCCGTCCCATTATTTTTCACGTTAAGAAACCACTGCAGTGGTTGACATGTTGATAGAATCAGATAGATAGTGTTTGCCGAGTCTTTCGGAAAGACGGTAACCTAAATGGTAAAGGTGGGAAAGACTCTTTCCCACCTTTACCATTTAGGTTACCGTTTAGGTTACCGTTTTCGTTATAACGAAAACGGTAACCTAAACCCGGGCTGTTGTGCAACGGGCTTAATACGGGCTTTGGGCCAGTCAGTTATTATTCTATAATATGCGGTGTTGCCAGATGTAACACAAAATGCAACGTTGTTGAGCTAGATGTAAACAAAAGTACAAAAAATGCAAAAATCAAGAAACAAAAGAATACCTAGTGCCAGTTTTGCTTCTGCTTTGTCCTCGTCGAGGTCCCCAGCCGCGTGGGGCGGTGTTGCCGTCGGGGGGCTGTGTACGATTTCGAAGTTGTTGTCGCCCCTTGTTTTGAGGGTAATTTTTAGCGGAGGGAGTTGCAAACGTTCAATGTTGACGTACGGCTGTCTCACGTGATGGATCAGGTGCTTGTAGAGGTATTCCCTGGCCGTAAAGTTGATGTTACAATCCCAGCATCGTAGCGGAACTAGATCGTCATCAAAATCGTCGGAATCTTAAAATATATTTTGAGGTTATGGATTTTTGAACTAAGATAATAATATGAAATGAAATAGTATTTCAAGGTATACCTAATAAAATAAGCTTTTATTGAAATGTATGCAAAAAATCGTAAAATATATCCCATATATTACAATACTAAAAGAACAACATGGCATTATTTGTTGAGTACCATTTATTTTTTATGATTTTTTGTGTGAAATTCTAAAATGCTGACAAAATTTAATAATTTTAAGAAAGTGATACATTTTAGTCAGTTCCAAGACTGACGTTTTTAAATTTGTATTTTATTAATTGTATATTATTATGCGAGACATAATGCAGGCTCACGAGGATGAGGTTTGCGTCTCGAGTCGCCTATAATAATGCGCATAATCTCGAGTGTAATACAAAACTTTATTAACTCCAACAAGTACATAATTAAATGTTTTTAAAAATAAATAAAATCTGACATCTGTCAAATGGTTAACCTTACCTATTTTTATATGTTAGTCGGCTTCTTTCAATTTAAAACCCGATTGGTTCAAATCACAGTGAATATTGAAATCGGCCAATCACTGATGCCTAACAACGTGAATATTTCACGTTGTTAGGCAGGAAATTTATAATGTTTATCAATATTCACGAAAAAGTAGATAAAAAATTATTATTATTATTATTATTTAAAATTGTTATTTTGATAATTTAATTATTTCCAAAATAAATAAATGGACCATAAACTAAATTTAAATAATTACCTACACAAGTATACACGGTTTTGGACCTGAGCACCCAAAAGTTGTTTTTAAGGTAACTTGGGGCGCTGAATCCAAATCTTCACTCCGTTTTTTAAGATTGGTTCTAGTCTTCGAGATAGTATATAAATTAAATTTGTACGATCTTTGGCAATTATATTTATTTAATGGCAATTAAAAGTAGGTAATAAATTAGAAATTAAGAGCGGTGGAACTAAGTCTTTTATATTGTTTCGGATCCGTTTCACGCATTAGAGTCCAACAGGACTTGCTCATCATGCGTTCATCCCAAAATTTTTGGTATATACTTTCAATGTTTGCGAGATCTTGGTGTAGCCGCTCTCCCTGTTCGTCGGTCGTATCACCCAAGTTTTCAGGGAAAAAATCAAGGTGGGAATGGAGAAAATGCATCTTGAGAGACATCCGAGATCAAATCTTGCGGTAATTTTGCAACATATTGCCGATGATTTGCTTGAAATCTGGGGATTTGCGGTTACCAAGAATAACACTTCGAAAAGAGGTCCATGCTGCCGCTTCATCGGGCGTTAAACATTTTGTTTAGTTTCCTTCGGTCATTAATTTTCGAATATCAGGTCCGACAAATATTCCTTCTTTGATTTTTGCGTACGACAAATTTGGAAACAACTTGATAAGTACTGAAAAGCCTACCCAGGTGCACCTGCGAGAACTGAAAAACTAGAACCAATGTTGCCAAACGGATTTAGGATTCGAATTCAGCGTATCAAATAACGTCAAAAATCGTTGTATTCTGCTCGGGTCCAAAAGTTGGCCGGAATTTGTAAACTTGTGTTATCAGTGTCAAAAAATATAAAGGGATTCTATATTTTGATTATTTAAAAAAAGGAAACGTAAGAAGAACCATATAAATAATTTTTTCTACTCCTATTGCATATTATTGATATTATTTGGTTTTTTTCATAAATAATGGAAACCAATATAACGTGAATAATGAGTTCAATATTCACGTTGTTAACAATTAGGCATCAGTGATTGGCTGATTTCAATATTCACTGTTATTTGAACCAATCGGGTTTTAAATTGGGAAAAAGTTAGGTTAAAAGATGTCAGATTTGTTTATATATACGAGGGGCGACTATAATGATCTTTAAAATCGGGAAAAAGTGAGGTTATAATAAATTTTCTTATTAATAAAAATTACTTAATTGGAGTAAAAAAAGCATGTATGCTTTTTACTATGGTACTATAGCATTGCACTCGAAATAATGCCCATTCTTTACTCGGATGATTTACGTCTGACGGTTCGAGATGCAAACCTCATCCTTGTGAATAATAGCCTGCATTATAATATACTATTTTACCATGGAATTTTGGTTACTCTGCCCAGGTATTAATAGCTATAATTACATAGGTGACAGTAAAAACTAAAAATTGTTAAATTAATTTAATATTTTTTAGTCTATAAATATGCTTATTCAAAGTTATAAAAATGCGTATTTATATAAATACATATTTCAATTACCTAATTAATTAAAGTTATTATTATTATTAAAGTTATGTTTTAAAAGTCCCGTTGGCATATTTGTTAAAAAGTATTGGGCTTTCGTCTAATTAATAATAATAAAAAAAATATTAGTAATTATTATGTCTTAAAACTATCATAACCTTAGTGTAATGAGCGATTAATTAATGAGTGTGTAGAAAAGTTTATAAACGAGGTGCATACTATACCTTTTCTACGACAAATACTTATTATTATCTTAAAATGATTTAAATCAAATATTTTTATAGAGCGCCATCTATGAAACAATAGGGGAATCTGTGTGTCACCGTCAAATGTCAAAATTTTATAAACACAGATTTTAAAGGTTATAAATCGAAATGTATTTCTTGAAAATGGACAGTTTTTTACAGTGAAAGTAAAGAAAATGTTTTATGAGCACTTTACAGTGGAGTCCGTGCCCGAATTATAGTTTACTGCCGGCGAAATTAAATATTGGCGTTGAGAAACTATTTAATACCTTTGAATTTTGTATTGAGATAATAAAATAATTTTCACATTTAGTATTATTTCACATTTAGTATTATTTTACAAGAGTTTTTCTACTCCCACCTTTAAAACGCCCATTATCGTACATGTTTCCATGACACTAAGTGACCTTTTAAATACACATTGACAAGTTGTGGCTTTATGGCGTTTTAGTCACGGGCTGAAGTTAGCAACAGGTTTTTAGTCACGGGCTGAACTTGGTTTTAAATTAGTTGACAGTTATCAAATGTCATACAATCGTTAAAATAAAGTGCCTTTCTTGTAAAATAATACTAAATGTGAAAATTATTTTATTACCTCAATACAAAAATACGTATTAAATAGTTTCTCAACGCCAATATTTGAAAAGTTTATATGAACATTGTAATGACCTTTTAATTTTGCGGGCAGTAAACTAAAACTGTAGAGTGCTCATAAAACATTTTCTTTACTTTCACTGTGAAAAACTGTCCATTTTCAACGAATACATTTCGATTTATAACCTTTATAATCTGTGTTTATAAAATATAAAAATTTGACATTTGACGGTGACACACAGATTGTTTCATAGATGGCAAATATTTGATTTAAATCATTTTAAGATAATAATAAGTATTTGTCGTACAAAAAGTATAGTGCACCTCGTTTATAAACTTTTCTATGACGTTTATCAAACTTGATACATAATATACTATTATTCAACACCCATTTCATTTCTTAACTTTAACCGGTGGTCGATATTTTACTTCGTCCACAGGGGATTTAAATTGAAATTGAAAAAAGTTAGGTTAAAAATGCTTCACAGCTGTCAGATAAAATATTGGCTTTAAATTTCTTTTGGTAGTTCAATAAAATATTGTGTGTCGAAAGAGGAGATTCCACTCACGGAATCTCATCTTTCTCCCACCAGTCGCAAAATATACTATTTCTAGTGAGTGGAAAAATATTGTTTTCCAAAAGATATAAAACACACTTTTCTTACGCATTGAACACGTATTCTTAATGCAAAATAATTATTAATATAAAAATCATCATAGATCTATATAGTTAGTCGCCCCTCGTATACTACCATAAAATCTGTCAGATAGATGTTCTAACTTTTCTTTGCGATTTTAACATTTAAAAGATTTAAAAGTTTAGTAGCTAAGTTGCTATAGCCATACTATTTTCTCTTAAGTTTACCGAAAAACAGTGTTGTCAACTGATACAGCATAGTCTATATTACATTTTATTTTTCTGTAGGTACTTCCATTCCATTATAGGTAGGTATAATACTTTTAATTCCATTAAAAATAATTATTTACAACAAATTTTGATTTTCATTATTACTTATAACTTATAAGTTATAAGTAAATAATATTTAAATATATTATATAAACAAATAAGTACATAAACAAACAATCTAAAACATATTTTTAAAGGGGCCTGTACAATCATTGAAAAAATAGTTCGATAAAAACAACAAAACATTTCAAAATAAATGCGTGGTACGCTCGATAAAAACCACGTTGAAACAAAACGAAACAACTAAAAATAAAAACTCGGCCGGGGTGGGAGAAGGCACTCTTGATCGCGAGTTTTTAAAAAATTAAATGGCCAAGGCAATCACGTGACCAAAACAAAAGACTTACCGGTATTGTAGTTTGAAGAAGCCGGCGTAATATCTTCACTGCGAAAATCTGAGGTCATTTTCGGCCTACAAAAACATAAATTATGTTTCTATAACTACCTAGAGGACGACAACTACAAAAAAAAGCACTAATAACTAAAACAAAATAACTAAAACATGAAAAATATCTTGGTATCGTACTCACAAGCATTTTTGTTTGTATTTATTAAAACCTATCCAACAATTTCTAAAACAGTGTTGTACTCCGCACGTCTTACTGACTACTGGAAGTGGGAGGGGATGGCAGAGACTCGCTGCCAAAGGGCGGGGCCTCGCAACTTCTCCTCACTCCCCCCACATCCCTCCCAAAGCCTCCTACAGCAACCGTAAACTCTCTGAATCTACAGAATGGTGATCATAGGCGGCTATGCCTGTTTAATGGTGACGTTGGTGAGCATCGTCGCTAGGCAACGCAGCTCCCTCCCACCCGCTACGTCTGCGCCGTCTAAATTTGTAACCGCTTTGGAGTTATTGTTGTTTAATTGTTGAATGTTTAATATGCGGTGCTTGGAGGGGGTTTGTTTGGGAGTTTCTATGATTTCTCGTGATTAGGTCGGGTCGAATTTGGGTAAACGTTTTGTTTGTTGTGAGGGGTACATGTATGTTTGTTGGTTTTATCGTTATCTATAAATTTAGTTACTTAGTTTTTTATATTCGTACAGATGTACCTACCTACTACATTTGATTAATATCATACATATTTTCGTTGTATTGCCGTGATTTAAAAAGATTTTATTATCAATTTGATTTTATACCTAATTAAAACTGTCAGAAAGCTGTTATAAAATGTCTAAAAAAGTTCCAACTATCTATAAATATTGTATTGCCGTGATTTAAAAAGATTTTATTATCAATTTGATTTTATACCTAATTAAAACTGTCAGAAAGCTGTTATAAAATGTCTAAAAAAGTTCCAACTATCTATAAATATTAAAACTGTTAAAATGTAAGATATTTAAAATGCCCTAAAACTAGGTATATTAAGTCTTAACGTCCTAATTAAAACCTGTCTATATTTTACTTCGCGCACGCATAGTACCTAATCGTTATCATGTTATGATTAGAATTTATCACATCTTTAGAATAAATAACACTCAATGAACTTTCTGCGGTTTTCTAAATTTGTGGTGGACACTGTCCACTGGTGAGATACATAGGTATACATTATGTATTATAATACATACATAATTTTGTTTTTGATAAAATACTATTTTGTTTTATTAAAAATACATTTATACCTACGTTCTCATTATGTTTATGATATCTTGCGCTTTTTAGTATTATTTACGATTTTTTGTGTATAAATACATATGTACATACGTATACATATGTACATATACATATAAATCATAATATGATATATGAATCATAATATGATATATGATTTTTTTTTATTACTTTACCCGTTTTATTTAATATTAAAAAATATATCGATTTTGTTTACTTTTTTTGTTACACCGTTTTATAACAGTAACTTTTTTATTTCGATTTGAACCAGACTGGTTGTTGACACTTTTAAGGACTAGTAATATTCGTTTTTTTTCGTGAATAATGATAAACATTATAAATTCCCTGCCTAACAACCTGAATAATGACTTATTATTCACGTTGTTAGGCATCAGTAATTTTAATATTCACTGTGATTTGAACAAATTGGGTTTTAAATTGGGGGAAGGAGATTATAAAAACATTTAAAATTGGTAAAACGTGAGGTTAACCATTTGACAGATGTCAGATTTTATTTAATTATTTTTGAAAATCATTTAATTACCCACTTATTGGAGTAGAAAAAGTAAGACTAATTATTTTTTAATTTTTGTAAAATACTTTTTCCCTGTGAAATGTGTTCTATTTAAGTTTTTGTTAGAGTGTAAGGTATTTTTTGAGAGAATGTACATTAAATACAAATTTTTTATTAATAATATTACACTCGAGATTATGCGCATTATTCACTCGGATAATTTAAGTCTTTTGTCTGGCGACTCGAGACGCAAACCTCATCACATCATATCGATGACTTTCTGCCAAAGTATCGCAAGCAACATAATTCAAATTTCGGTAATTGAAAACATTTTTTGTTTTAAAGTCTGTTTTAAACCATATATAACCTATAGGTTTTATAACAAGTAAATAGCTATAATTATAAGCTATTTACTTGTTATAAAACCTTTAGGCCATATTTAATTAAAAACAGACTTTAAAACAAAAAATGTTTTCAATTCCTGAAATTTGAGTTATGTTGCTTGCGATACTTTGGCAGAAAGTCATCGATATCATGTGTTTTGTATACATATATGTGTGATTAAATATTTATCGTTCTTTAATGTTAATTTTGTAATAATGTATATATACAGTTGAAGATATATAACATTGTACATAAAATATGTCTACAATCTTCTGAAGAATCCAAAAATTGAATTGAATTTGAAATAAGAAAGTTGATATTGGCCACTGCTACATGAAACACCCATACAAAAAGTTTTTGTTAAAAAAAAATGCGCAACTAAAAATACCAAACGAAGTCTCCGAGCGTTTCTTGGAACACGCCTCCATTTATGTACTATCGAATTTATTTCATTTGGCTGATACACACTGGGTCCCTCGATGGGGTTGCCAATAGGAGAATAATATATTATTATACGAGAGATAATGCAGGCTAATATTCACGAGGATGAGGTTTACGTCTCGAGTCGCCAGACGAGAGACCTAAATCATCCGAGTGAATATTGCGCATAATCTCGAGAGTAATACTATACTTTATCTACTCCAATAAGTAGATAATTAAATGATTTTCAAAATTAAATAAATAAAATCTGACATCTGTCAAATGGTTACCCAGTAAGCACCAAACACTCGGCAAACAGTCGGCCTTCGCTCGGCATAGGCGGTTATGCGCGTTATGTTAGCCCGGTACCGTTTGACCATGTTCTAACCAAAGTTGGCCAGAATACGGCATGCCGCTGCAAAATCGTTCGGCTTGCCCTAGCCGGCCCGCTTACGGCCGGAATACGGCCTGCCGCGGCATAAGCAATACATCTCACGGCTGCTTACGCAAGCGAGCTAACTATAAATAGCGATGGGTTGCAATATTTAGTTGGAAGTGTGCGTCTGTAATGGCATAGCTGAACATTAATTGTTTGAAGTCCCCATCTCCATCCTCATCTGCTCAGTAGTACCGAATAATGGCTAGCTATAGTCGAGTGTGTTAAACCTATAGGATATACCTAACCAGGACGAATATTGGCTAGCTATAGTCGAGTGTGTTAAACCTATAGGATATACCTAACCAGGACGTCTGAAGGCTTTTTTTGAATTGCCAGGCTGTTGTGGCCGGCACTCGGCCAACTATACACAGCCGACACTCGGCCGAGTAAACAAAGCCGACATTCGGCCAGGCGGACATGCCCGGTCTACACGCCGGATCAAATACACGGGCCGCACGCCACCGATTCGGCAAAACGTATTCGGGCCGTATACGGGCCGGCTAGCTTGTGCTTACTGGGTAACCTTACTTTTTACCAATTTTAAATGATATTATAGTTGCCTTTTTCCAATTTAAAACCTGATTGGTTCAAATCACGTTGTTAGGCAGGAAATTTATAATGGAAAAACACCGAAAATATGCAATAGGAGTAGATAAACTTATTTATTATTCGTTTTACGTAAAAAAGTCATTGTTTATTAATTTAATTGGAGAATTTTATAAGAAAAAAGTCTTCTTCTTCTTCTTCTTCAGATATTGGCGACGACAATTCAAATTAATTAATTTTTTAAATAAGAAGGAGTTTTTATGAAGAATTATTTTTTCCCGTAAAATACATAACGCAATTTTTGTTTTCATTTATATGTAGGCATATATCGATGACTTTCTGCCAAAGTATCGTAAGCAACATAACTCAAATTTCGGGAATTGAAAACATTTTTTGTTTTAAAGTCTGTTTTAAACCATATATAACCTATATGTTTTATAACAAGTAAATAGCTATAATTATAAGCTAAGTAATTACTTGTTATAAAACCTTTAGGCTATATTTAATTTAAAACAGACAAGCAAAATGTTTTCAATTTCCGAAATTTGGGTTATGTTGCTTGCGATACTTTGGCAAAAAGTCATCGATATATAGGTATTTATATATATATACATACATACATATACAGGATGTCCCAATCTGCTGTTAAAGTATTGCACGCTAATTATAATTAGCGTGCAATACTTTAACAGCAGATTCTACATACAAAAATAAGAAAAAAAAGTTCCCCTAAACATAGACCGAGAAATGCTTTCTAAGGGAACTGCAGCCCCTAAATGAGGAGCCCCTGAAGATAGTTTTTATTTAATATATCCAAAACCGTTCAAGGTAGAAAAGTAAAATTTTGGGAATTAATTAAACTTTTTATGGTCAATAAGATGTAATAATAACAATTCAAAATTTCCATGAGGGGTGGGTCAGATAGATAGGGAATAGGGGTTAAAACCAAACTAACTTTTTGTACGTGTCTCGTGTTAGGATTTGATGTCAGATTATGAAATTTCGGAATTTTACACACAAAAAAGGTCCTCTTGTTAAACTTTGATATTTATTGTCCACTATTTTTGCTTAAAATCCATTTAAAAATTACCTTACATAGCATAAAATATCATAATGAATTCACAAGAGAGAAAAATTCAGAGTAGGCCATGGAACACAGCTGCCATCTTGCCAGCTATGAAAAATTATTTAAGACATGTGACAGTTTCATGTAATATGTGACAGGGGGTTTAAAAATTGTCCATGGCCTACGCTGAATCAAAAGTTATTAAAACAAACGATTTCCAGGGGTGTCCGTTATGAGACCGTATCACCGTAGGGGGGCCGTAGAAAATAGTATATTACACTACAAGGGCCGAACGTTTAATTTTCGGCCCTGCGCGTCATGATGCCCTCGGCTTTGCCTCGGGCATCATGACGCGCAGGACCGAGATTTCAACGTTTGGCCCGTGTGGTGTATACCATGGTACATACTATCTTTCTTCATACATCGGTCAAAAGTACTTACTTTCGTCCCTAATAGCAGGGACTTTCGTTACAACTGGTTAAATTAACGTTAAATTTACGTTCTGTCCGGTTAATTTACTTAAGTTATATTGTACTATAACGTTAAATTAACCTTAAATTAACGTTATTTTGTAATAAGTGGGGAATAAAAACCATGGTTAATTTAACGTTATGTTAAGTAAATTTAACT